TACTGGGCAAATTCTTGAATTTGAAAGCCATGAAACTGAGAAAAGCTGTGAGCGTGTGCTTGATTTTGAAAGCAGTGACCCAAAGGACAATAGTCACCAGTTGCTTGAGTTTCACAGCAATGGCCTTGGAGGTGGCGATACAACAATTATTGATGATCACACTGGTTCATCCCCGGGGAAGTTTTATCCTCCACCGGTTGTCGGCATGGAATTTGAATCTTATGAAGATGCTTATAATTATTACAACTGCTATGCTAAGGAGCTTGGTTTTGCCATCAGGGTGAAGTCTTCATGGACAAAACGTAACAGCAAAGAGAAGCGTGGTGCTGTTCTCTGTTGCAATTGTGAGGGTTTCAAGACAATGAAAGAAGCAAATAGCCGAAGAAAAGAAACAAGGACAGGTTGCTTAGCAATAATAAGGTTGAGATTGGTGGAGTCCAGTAGATGGAGGGTGGATGAAGTTAAGCTTGAACATAACCATCTCTTTGATCCTGAAAGGGTGCAAAACTCCAAGTCACACAAAAAGATGGATGCAGGGGTTAAAAGGAAGTTAGAGCCAGCAGTTGATGTGGAAGTGCAAACAATTAAGTTGTATAGAACTCCTGCTGTTGAGACTCTAGGGTATGGAAGCTCAGATGAAAGAGCATTCAGCGGGCAGGTTGATGGCTCCACACATTTAAAACTCAAAGAAGGTGATATCCAAGTCATATACAACTTCTTTTGTCGGGTGCAGCTTACGAAGCCCAATTTTTTCTACATTATGGATTTGAATGATGAAGGGTATCTAAAGAATGTGTTTTGGATTGATCCCAGGTCCAGAGCGGCATATGCTTATTTTGGTGATGTGGTTGTGGTTGACACAACATGCGTGTCAAAAAAATATGACATCCCACTTCTAGCATTCTTTGGACTAAACCACCATAAGCAGACTCTTTTGTTGGGCTGTGGTTTGCTTGCTGATGAAAGTTTTGAGACATATGTTTGGTTACTGAGAGCATGGCTATCGTGTATGTCAGGACGCCCTCCGCAAACTATCATCACAGATCGGTGCATGGCCTTGCAAAATGCAATATCTGAGGTTTTTCCTCGGGCTCAACATCGGCTTAATCTGTCTATTATTTTGGGCAGCATTTTCAATACCGTAGGACAAGTGGGGGAATCTGAAGTATTCCGTGAGGTACTGTATAATACAGTGTATAACTCTCTTAAAGTTGATGAATTTGAAGTTGCGTGGGAGGAGATGGTCCATCAATTCGGATTTAGGGGCTATGGATGGCTTCAAAGTTTGTATGAGGATCGAGAACGATGGGCTCCTATTTATATGAAAGATACATTTTTTGCTGGAATATCTATTGATCAGCCTGGTGAGTTCATGAGCCCCTTTTTTGATGGATATGTACATAAACATACAAATTTGAAAGATTTTTTTGATATATATGATTTTGTACTGCAAAAAATGCGTCAGAAGGAAGTTCATTGTGATTTTGAGTCGAGAGAATTTAGCCCCGTCTTGAGAACAAGGTGCAATTACGAGTTACAGCTATCTAAATTGTATACTAAAGAAATATTCTTGAAGTTCCAAGATGAGATGGCGTTGATGTCTAACTGTTCAGGTATAGCACAAGTTCACGCCAATGGACCGATCATCACATATATTGTTACAGAACGAGGGGCTCAGGGAGACACAGGGGATGCAAGAAATTTTGAAGTTACTTATGATAAAATGGGGGTGGAAGTCCGATGCATCTGCAGTTGTTTCAACTTCAAAGGTTATCTATGCCGACATGCTTTATCTGTGCTCAATTACAATGGTATAGAGGAGATCCCAAATCATTATATCTTGAGCCGATGGAGAAAGGATTTTAAACGCTTGTATGCACCAGAGCTTGGCTCGAGTAACATAGATGTTAGTAATCCTGTTCAACGGTTTGACCATTTGCACAAACGGGCCATGCAAGTAGCTGACGAAGGGATGACTTCTCAAGATCATTATATGGTTGCTTGGCAGGCATTTAAGGAGTCCTTGAATAAGGTTCGTCTTGCAGCGGACAAACATGTATCATAAAACCAAATTCAGGTTTAACATTTTGTGTAGCTTCTGAACTTTTTTTGTATTTATAAATTATAAACCGGCTTCCACATATCATTATGTACAGTGAAATACCTGCATTTCAGGGCAACATTTCCCCCCCTAGATAGCACTCTGTTTGCCATTCACTATCTTGTACATTCTCTTCTGATTCCCTTCTGCTTGTTTTCTATCAGCTTTTCGTGCAGGGGCCCTTTGATGTCAAATTTTTCAAATTGCGTCATAAAGCATTAGAATTAACATTTAGGCTTGTTCAGCTATTTAATTACCTTATATATAAAAGGAAAAAAGGGCTATCTTCAGTTCTTTATGCTCATTTCTTGCTTTACATTTTGGGGAAAGGGTAAAATGTACCCCTCTACTTTCAAAAATTGTCTACATTTAACCTCCGTTATACTTTGTTTACAAATATACCTCTGCCGTTAATAAACTTATCACAAATACCCCTAACCCTAACGGAACCTCCATCACCACCAACTGCCGCCACTCGAACCTTCTTCCCTACTGCGTCCTCCGTTCACCACCCATATCTCCACCTTTTGACCACTTAAAATGATGAACCACCATTTTATTTACATCCATGGCTCCATCATTTTAGATAGTTAAGCTCACGTCTAGCACTAACTTAATCTTCAAAAAAGGGGGAAAAACCACTGCTTCCTTTCCATCATAACCACCACTGCTATTTCGCCCTTTACCGCCTAATGTAAACACAGTTAGACCAAAATCCTTCATTCCCATTCATCTTCAACCCACATGAGAGGAACTTGACCACCCTCTTCATTAATCCCCAAATCCATAGTCGAGAAAACTGTCAACAACCTTCATTTGGAGGGTATTCTAAAATTTAAAATATCCTTTGATCTTGTATGCTTTTGAATAATAAGGGATTTTTACCTAGCTATACTATAATAAAAACCTATTTACCTCCTTTATTTAGGTTCCTTATTAATTACTTTGTATGTCTATATTTACAAGTTATATACAAAACCATAAAAAAGAAGAAAATTCAAGATCCCTTAAATTTAGCCTGTCAGTTACATGACACTCACCCCATTTCCAATAACCCCTACATTTAAGATTCTGTTCCTTTTTCAAAGAATTTCAAAAATATTTTCTCTCTCTTGATAATCACCCAAAATTTCTCTTAATTTTTTATAACCATTGTTAACCCCCCAAAATTATCGATTCTTTTCTTTTTCCAAAGCTTTTCAAACCCAATTTTCCTCTTTCTTACTAATCACCCAAAATCTCTCTTTCTTATTGATATAATGCAGACGAAATTCGGAATATTGCTTTAGAATCAAGTTGTGAATAAGTTTTGAATCTTGTTTTCTTTCTTTCTAAATTTTTTAATGTATGTGACTTGCATTGGATACATCATATACCCAAAACAATACTTGATACAATGCTAATACGATTATATTAGTTTTTTAGTATAGAGTTGTGATTGAAACTTGAAGAAGATGGAGATCATAATTATATCACAATTTTTCAGAAATATATCGCGATTGTATTATAATTGTATATGTATCATAATTGTATTACAAATGTATGATAATTGTATATTCATTGTATACTGTTACAATCGAGCAGTTGTGAGTTCGTGACGAATTTCACAGTTTGTATAACAAATATATGATTATTATATATTAATTTATTAGTATTGTATTAGGTATTATTTTGGGTATTAATGTACCATATAGATACCATTGTGATACAAGTATGATACAATTATGTTTTAGGCATTGATATATCTGATAAAATTCAAATACAATTATGATACAATTACAATATAGTTTCTGAATATTTCTTCATTTTCATTGTTGTCTAATCTCCCAGCAAAAAAGCGATCAATTGATGATTTTTTAATAATATAAAGCTATCGGGAATGGTGGGAAGAGATAAGATGGATATTCTGGCATAGATTAAGGGATTTTGATGTAAAAAAAAAGAGGAGAGAGAAGAGAAGAGGAAAAAAAAAGAGGAAAGTATGTAATTGAATCTCTTAATTGAAGGCACTAATAATGGGATGTGAGCCTTTTAAGGAGCAATCTACATAATTTGTAAAAAAACCTAGATATTTATTAAAAACTGCAAAACATAGAGAATACAGGTAACTAAGTTTCTAATATAGTATAACTAGGTAAAAATCCGTTTGAATAAACTCTGAATTTGAATCCAACGCAAATCAAATTTTCGCAAAATTTGATGCTTTGAAGCAATTAAATTGTACAAAATTTTATAGCACTAGCAATATTGAAAGAATTAGAAACAAACGGTGAACGATACCATATTCACTATAATTTCCTGCAATCTCATTTCTCTCTTGAATATGAGAAAAAAATTAGTAACATTCTTCAATGTTCATTAATATTCTATTTTGTTTATCTTGCATAAATTTTTGATGGGTGTTTTGCGAATTTGGTGGTGTGCATTGATCTTTTATAATTTGGATTAAAAAGGTTTTGCATACTTTATAACTTTTTGAGAGTTTAGCTTCTTATTTGGACTGAATTCATAGTAATTAGTATTTTTTTAGCTAAATATATGGGTTGAAATATAAAGTTGAGGTGAAGAAGGAAGTTATTGGCTTATGGAGAAGAAGATTAGAGGCGACAGTTGGTGCTGATGGAGGTTCCGTTAGGGTTAGGGGTATTTGTGATAAGTTTAATAACGTTAGGGTGAAGAGAATGTGAATTCCAAAACAATGTTTCTTCTATATCTCGTGTATATACAATAAGCTTCCTTTTATGCAGAGAAAGCCAACTTAAGCAATTATCTTAAGGCTATTGTTTAATTGAAAAGTATACTTTTTCTTTACCCAATACACATAAACGTGTATTTGGCACTTGCAGACAACAATATCAAAAACATAAAAGCTAGCTACTTTTGTTTGTCTCTAGCTACTTTATTGTCCATTATCTTGGGACCAACACCCCCTCAAGTTGGAAGGGGAAGAAATCACCCCCAACTTGCCCAAGAGATTATGATGACGAGGTCCTGGGAGCGATTTTGTGAAGAGATCCGCCAGTTGAGCCGAAGATCGAACAAAAGAAAGGAAAATCAAACTAGACAAGAACTGTTGCCGGACAAAATGGCAATCCAACTCAACATGTTTCGTCCGTTCATGAAATACATGGTTTTTAGCTATATGTATTGCTGCTTGGCTATCTGAGTGTAAAGGAACTAGAAGGGTTACGGGAATAGATAGATTTTCAAAGAGACGGACCAGCCAAGTAAGTTCTGCAACCACTCGTCGCATTGAGCGATATTCAGCCTCGGCAGAACTTAGAGAACTTGAGGTTTGTTTCTTAGATTTCCATGAAATTAGCGAAGCTCCAAGTGAGATATAAAAGCCGCTTACTAATTTACGCGAATCCGGGCAAGTTGCCCAATCCAAATCACAAAATGCCAAGAGCTGAAAAGAGGATGAAGATGACATAAAAAGACCAAATCCAGGACCCTTCATCAAATATCGAAGCACGCGATAGGCAACATCTAGATGGGGTTTCTTGGGGTCCTGCATGTATTGGCTCAAGTGCTGGACCGTGAAAGATAAATCAGGTCTGGTATGTGTTAGGTAATTCAGTTTACCAAGTAAATGACGATATAAAGTAGGGTCCTTTACAAGATCCTCTGTCTTAGCAAGAAGCCTAGATGTTGGATCAAGTGGAGAAGAAACAGGAACCAGTTGCATTGCATCAAATTCCTTGAGAAGATCAAAGGTAAACTTCCTTTGTGAAAGGATCAACCCCTGAGGTTCGCGGATCACCTCCATGCCTAGAAAAAAATGCAGGTCCCCAAGATCCTTGATTTTAAATTCTTGATGAAGAAAATCTTTTAGTTCTTGTAATTCTGTTGTATCATTTCCTGATAGTAATATATCATCGACATAGACAACTACAATAGAGATAGAGGAATTTGACTTTTTAAAGAACAAGGAGTAGTCATTTAATGAGTGAGTGAAACTCTTAAAATTTAGGGCATTGGTGAGCTTAGAATACCACTGTCGTGAAGCTTGACGAAGTCCATAAATTGACTTTTTCAATTTGTAGACATGTGTAGAAGATGGTGGGATAACTCATGCTGGGAATTTCATATAGACTTCCTCTTGCAAATCTCCATGTAGAAATGGATTATCCACATCTAACTGATACAAACCCCAACCTCTTTTTACTGCCGTAGCAAGCATACACCTAATGGTGGTCATTTTGACCACCGGTGAAAAAGTTTCAGTAAAGTCCACTCCTTCCTTTTGTATGTCTCCTCTAATGACTAGCCTTGCTTTCAATCGTTCTATACTTCCATCCGAACGTTGTTTAACTTTGTATACCCATTTGCATGGCAAAGCTTTCCTACCAAGGGGTAGTTCAATTACCTCCCAAGTTTTGTTTAGCTCAAGAGCCTCAATTTCCCTTGCCATAGCCTCCTGTCTGGTTGGTGTGCAGCCTCACTATAACTAATTGGTTCTTGAACATTAGATAAAGAATTGAGCATATATTGATTAGCAGAGGAAAGTCCATTAAAAGATAGTGAATCTGGTGTTACAGAAGTGAGGAAACAAGAATTACTTACATTTGTGAGCTTGAGTGCATTGCAGATATAATCTTTAAGATATGAAGGTGGATTATGAGACCTTGAAGATTTTCTAATGAGTGTTTCTATCATAGGTTCAGAATCCAGAGGTAGAAAAATATGAGTATTGGTCCCTGAAATAGGGGATGATCTAGAAGATGAAGGAATAGGGGATGATCTAGGAGCAGACAGAGGAGTAGAAATGGATTGAGGTGTAGGACTTGAAGGAGTAGGAATGAAATGTGAACTGATAGGTGAAGTTTCAGGTAAAAAAATCAGGAATTGAACTAGGTGAATGACTTGGTTTAGCAAGGGGCAGAACAGGATGACTTGTGGTAGGTAAGTTTATAGAAGCAAAGGGAAAGAATTCCTTATGGAACACAACATCTCTAGAAATGGTAGTCTTAAGAGTTTTAAGGTTAAGCACTTTATAACCTTTCTTGCCATGTGGATACCCAAGGAAAACACAAGGTACTGCCCTAGGATCAAGTTTCATTCTATGATTTACAATAGTGGAAGCAAAGCATAAACAACCAAAACACCTAAGGTTAGAGTAATTGGGCTTCACCTTAAACAATATCTCATAAGGAGTCTTGAAATGTAAGACTCTAGAAGGGAACCTATTGATTGGGTAGGTTGCTGTGAGTAAACAATCTCCCCAATAAGAAACAGGTAAATGTGACTAGTACAATAATGCCCTAGATGTTTCTAATAAATGCTTGTGCTTCCTCTCCACTACACCATTATGTTGTGGGATGTACACACAAGTGGTTTGATGAATAATTCCTTGTGAAGAAAGGAAAGCTGACTGAACGTTCCCAGTTCCCAATTCAAAAGCATTGTCTGATCTAATGATTTTAACCTTAGAATGAAATTATCTATCCACCATTGCTAGATAAGACTTTAAAACTGTGAAAGTATTTAATTTGGTACTTAGGAGATAAGTCCAAGTGGCTCTGCTAAAGTCATCAACAATTGTGAGAAAATATTTGTAACCATCATATGTCGCACTACTATATGGTCCCCAAGTATCCACATGAATTAATTCAAATGTTTCTTTAGTAGAGATAGAGCTTGAGGAAAAAGGGAGTCTAGTCTGCCTTGCCATTGGGCAAACATAACAGGGGGTTAAGAAATTAGAACATGAAGAAGCAGGAAGAGACAAAATATTCTTCATATTACTTAATGGAATATGACATAGCCTATAATGCCACAACTTTTCCCTTACATTAGAATCAGAAAAAGTGAAACAAGAACTTAAAACTGGAATGGAAGTAGACTTCTTTTTTGAAACAAAACCATTCCTAGACTTAGACAAACTATCTGAGACTGATACGGAAGGTCTTGATCTGAGGATGTAGAGTCCTCCCCCCTCTTTACCAATTTCCATAGGGTTCTTCAGTGAAGGGCCATGCAGTAGAAAACAAGAAGAAGGAGTGAAAAAGACATATTACTTGAGTTGCCTGTACAACTTGTGCACAGATAACAGATTATACCTAAAAGAAGGAATATATAAAACATTATCTAAGATTAGATTAGGCAAGAGTGAAATAGAGCCAGAATGAGTAACTTTTACTTTAAAGGAATTAGGTAGGTTAACCATGACAGGTTTTGGTAAAGCCTTTAAATCTAAGAAGAAAGCTTTGTTAAAAGTCATGTGCTCAGTGGCTCCACTATCTAATATCCATGAATCACTTTGAATTTGAATGAGACATGCATAAGTGTTGAAGAACTTTGTTATACCTGCACAACTTAGGTTTGCAGAAGCTTCAGAGGTACTTGCTCCATTTTGTGCCATTTTCACTTGTTGAAGAAGCTGTAATAATTCTGTCATATTTTTTTGAGTAAGTGTGTGAGTATTTGTCAACTTAGTACCTCCCTGCTCACTTTCTCCAACTGTGTTAAAAGCACTGTTAACCTGAACTCCTTCTTGATATCTCCTCTGCTTTGTCAACTTAAAATCTACAGGAAATCCATGGAGCCTGTAGCACTTTTCAATGTTGTGACCAACCTTTTTACAATAAGCACATCTAAGTCCTGTTTTCTTAGCATCAAAATCTGTTTTTTGTCCTCTATTATTATTCATCTTCTTAGCATTTCCTGCATAGTTGGCTGCAATGAAAGAGGAAGAATCTACTGGATGAGCATGATTAGCATGAATTTTCCTTTGTTTTTCATCTTAAATCATGAGGGAGTAGGCTTTCCCAATAGTGGGTAAAGGAGAAGACAATAGAATATTGCTTCTCACTCCTATGTAGGTGTCATTGAGCCCCATTAGAAACTGCAACAACCTTTGGTCTTGGTGAGTCTTCAAATTCTTTCCTTTAGCTCCGCACACACACTCACACTCACATGAATATGTGGAAAAATTAATTAGAGTATCTAACTCATCCCACAAACTTTTCATTTTCATAAAGTATCTAGATACACTAGAGTTTTCTTGAACTACAACACTTAGTTCTTTTTAAAGTTGAAACAATTTAGCACCATTGTTTGACCAAATCTGTCTTCCAAATCATTCCATAGGTCCTTTGCACTGTGAGAGTAAAACACACTCTCTGCAATCTCCTTTGATACAGAGTTAAACAACCAAGACAGGACCATGTCATTTCCTCTTGACCAAGCACTTTGAAGCCCAGAACTTTCATCTGGAATGGAGATGGTTCCATCAATAAAACCCAATTTGTTCTTTGCAGAAAGAGCTATCACACAGCTCTACGCCAAGCACCATAACTTTTGCCATCAAAAACTGAAGAAACCAGGTTCATTCATGGATAGTCTGAGGGGTGAAGAAAAAATGGGTGTGATGAGTCAATCGTGACTTTCTTGGATGAATCAGCCACAATAGCCACAAAGGTATTAACATCAGATGTTTCTACCATTTTGAAAAGAAGAAGGCAAAATGAAAAAGTAAAAGAAAATTTTCAAAATATGCTTGAATGACATGCTCTTGATACCATGAAGAGAATGTGAATTCCAAAACAATGTTTCTTCTATATCTCGTGTATATACAATAAGCCTCCTTTTATGCAGAGAAAGCCAACTCAAGCAATTATCTTAAGGCTATTGTTTAATTGAAAAATATACTTTTTCTTTACCCAATACACATAAACGTGTATTTGGCACTTGCATACAATAATATCAAAAACATAAAGGCTAGCTACTTTTGCTTGTCCCTAGCTACTTTATTGTCTATTATCTTGGGACCAACATAGGGGTATATTTGCACATAAAGTATAACGAAAGTTAAATGCAGACAATAATCAAAAGTAAAAGGGTTATATTTGACCCTTTTCCCTTACATTTTTTACTGTATCTCAAAGGACATCACATCAATTTCTTGTGTCGGCAGTCGACACACATAATGTATATTGAAGAATATATGCAGTTCAGGCTTCAATCGAAGCAAAGGTTTCCCTTTTTCTTTTGATTTACACTTAACTACACTGCTCTTCTTATGCTAAGTACGTATCTCAGAAGCTTTTCAAGTGGAAATTTTTTGGGTAGAACTCGTGGAATAATCAAAGCCAAATCGTTTCGCTTGTTAAAAAAAAGTCCAATTTTTTAAAACGAACTAAACTTTTTTCGCAAAAACTAACAGCCTGTTTAGACATAAGAAACTTTTCCCTTTTTTCCAAAAAAAAAATTCACTTTTTCTCGAAATCAATGTTTGTTCATAAAATTTCCATTTTTCATTTGAAGATGCATTTTAGAAATTTTCGAAAATTTAAAGTCTGGAGAAGGTACGGTATACGAAGGTCTTGTCTCTATCTCAGAAAGATAAAGAGACTGTTTCGATAAACCCTCTACTCAAGAAACCACTCAACAAATGTAGTAACATTATTGAATTTGTAAGTTAAAATTAAAATAATACTTAAATGAGTTAAAACATCATCAACTTGTTAACGAACCACTATTAGCATGACGGACCTCAACCATTCCTACTCAATATAAACCTTTTCACAAAATCATGTTTGTGTTATGAAATAAAAGCAATTTAGTAAAACATGAACAAGAAATAAAAGCAATTTAGTAAAACATGAACAAGAAATAGAGATAGAGAGAAGGAAGAGATTTTCTTCTTCAATTGTGTGTATTTTCCTATCTATTACAAGGCCTTTATATAGGCATGAAAAGTGAAGAAAATATGTCATGGAATATGTCATTGAACATAGAAAATATGTCATTGAATATGTCATTAAC